GCGGCCGTCTTCCCGGCCCTGGGTCTGGAGCGCGGAGCCCCGGCCCAGCCGGCGCGCGGCGGTACCTGATCACGCGCTGGATGACGTTCCGGTAGCGCAGCCGATCGGCCTGCACGTTCGGGTTGCTCAGCGCCTTCCCCAGCTCCTTCACCACGTCGGCCGAGCCCAGGTAGGGCATCTTCGCCCGGCCTCCGCGTTACCCGCCCCGGACCCTCACCCCCGCAGCGCCGCCGACTCGCGCCCCACCCCGCCCCACACGCCGCTCCGTTCCGTCCGCAGCTCGCTCCGCCCGCACGCCGCTCCGTTCCGTCCTAAGATAGCCTCGCCCACACGCGCTCCGTTCCGTCCGCAGCTCGCCCCTCCCACACGCCGTTCCGTTCCGCCCACAGCTCGCCCCGCCCACACGCCTCTTCGTTCTGTCCGCAGCTCGCCCCGCCTACACGCCGCTTGACGCACAGCCTGACCCGCCCACTCGGCCGCAGGCCCCGCCTTCCCGTTCCCCCACTGCTGCGGTCCCGGGTCCAGGTTCCCGGGTCGGCCGGATCTGGCTTTCGGCGCGCAGTCCCGCCCGTGGGGAGCCGCCACTCACCCTGTGAGCGCCGAGCCTAGCCCAGACCCCGACCTAGGGCGCCCTATCCCCGGCCTCTCCCCTCCCGGCGCTCGGGGATCGGCTGCTCGGCCTGACTCCGCCCGACCAGGCCCGCTCCGCGGGGCCTTCCGCCCGGGGTCCTCGGCTCCGGCTGTCCCCCGCCCCCCCGGCCCGCACCCTCCGCCACCGCCATGAGCGGGGTGGCGATCCCCCACACGCCCATCGCCGTGGACCTGTGGAGCCTGCGCCGCGCCGGGTGCGCGCGGCTCTTCTTCTTGTCGCACCTGCACGCGGACCACGCGGCGGGGCTGGGCAGCAGCTGGGCGCGGCCTCTCTACTGCTCCCCGCTCACCGCGCGCCTCCTGCGCCGCCGCCTGCGGGTACGCGGGCCGGGCACCCCCGGGGTACGGGTCCGGCGGGGTCACCCCTCGGGTACGGGGTCCGGCGGGCTCGCCCCTCGGGCCTCCGGCCTGTGTCCGAATGGGGCCCTGAATTTCCCGCGGCCGGGCCGGAATGCCGCTCGGCTGCGGACTCCTGGCCGTCCACGGAACCCCGCGTCCCCGAAGAGCCTGAGCGTGCGCCGGTAGCCGGTGGGGTGTGCCGGACACACCTGACACGCGAGCACAGCCGTCCCCCAGGCAGGCACAGCTAGCACACCAGAGGCCGGCTGGGGGCTTTCGCTGGTCCTCTGCTCTGGAGGCTCCGAGGCCCGAGGACCTGCCAGCCCGGCTGGAAGCCCGGGCCTCTCATCTCCACTGAACCACTCAGAAAGCCGAAGTGGTGCTGTGGCTCGAGTGGTAGAGCTCCAGCCTTGAGCCCAAGAGGCTCAGGGATAGCGCCCAGGCCCTGAGTTCAAGCCCTAGGACTGTCAAACAAAAATAAAAACAAGAGTGGGCACCCTAGCGGCTCAGAGCGCCCAGTCGGTCGATCCCCAACCTCTTCTGCCAGCCATCAAAAAAGAATAGAACGCAAAACGCGTGTGACACGCTGTGAGCACGCAGACCCCAGCCCTCACCGGCTCCACTCAGCAGGCAAGGCCAGCTCTTGAGTCTGGCTGAGCTCTGGTCTGACAGCTTCCCTCACATTCTCAGTCTAGAGCTGTCTAAGGCCAGAGGGAGCAGGCAGAAGTGCAGGCTGCTTTGGAGTTCCACCCTAAAGCGTCCACTAACACTCCCGGGTGGATGAGGCCTTCATCTGTCCTCCTAGATGCGGACACCTCGAGGGGAGACTGTGGCTCCTGAGATGACCAGCTGTTTCCTCAGGTGTCTGAGCAGTGGATCCGAGCTCTGGAAGTCGGGGAGAGCCATGTATTGCCTCTAGATGACGTGGGACAGGAGACCATGACTGTCACTCTCCTGGACGCCAATCACTGCCCCGGCTCAGTCATGTTTCTCTTTGAAGGATACTTTGGAACCATCCTCTACACAGGTGGGCCTCTCCGAGTCTCCCTTCCAGCACTTTGCTCATGGAAGCCCAGTGGCCTCCTGACTTCATTACATGTAAATACATTGACCATCAAGACCTGGCGGGGAATGTGAGGATGGAAACTCTTCCTCCCACAGAGAAGCTGTGCTGCCCCATGTTTTCCCAGAGACCCTCTGAGCAGACGCCCAGCTGTTGGGAGATGTTGATAGATTGATAGATGTTTTCCTTTTGTCTTTACCCTCTATCCCTCACCCAGGTGATTTTCGGTATACACCATCCATGTTGAAGGAGCCGGCCCTGGCTTTGGGGAAGCAGATCCATACACTATACCTGGATAACACCTACTGCAACCCAGCCCTGATTCTTCCTTCCCGACAAGAAGCTACACGCCAGATCATCCAACTCATTGAAAAGCACCCACACCACAACATAAAGATCGGTGAGTTGTTCTCCTTTCCTCTTATAGTGAATCTAGCTTCTTTGAAGGTTCTCATAACTTTCAAGCTTATGTGCCTCTTTTTTCCCCTTTTTTTGCCGGGGGGG